TTAATCCTTTTCGCGATTACCCCGAAGGAGTGCAGATAGCACCTTCAGTATTTCTTTACTTTGAACAGTGGCCCCACACCCATCTACCTATTGCTCAGCTACCCCCTAGCAGCAGCAGCAGCAGCAGCAGCAGCAGCAGCAGCAGCAAGCCCAGCAGCAGCAGCAAGCCCAGCAGCAGCAGCAGCAGCAGCAGCAGTGAGGAGGTGTATTACTCTGTAACTCTGTGTGTCGGCAAATATATTTTTTCTTCTGTTTGTGGGGTGCACCCGCGCGTGCTGTTTTATATAATAAACGAGTGGCTGCAGGCTGTCTCTTTGCATGGAGACAGTCTCCTTAACAAGCCTCGGCCTTCTGTCTCTCCTATATCTTAATATAATTATATAATATAATTATATTAAAATATAAATACTTTGACGAAAATAAACACAGCAAAATATTACAAACAAATACTATAGACAGATGTATATCAATAGATATATATATATATATATATATAAAATAAGTAAAACAAATAAAGAAAACAAACAAAAACAGATTAAGATAAATAGAGACAGATAAAGACAAAGAAAGACAGAGAAGGACAAACACAAGCAGTTAAATACAAACAAAAATAAATAAAAACACATAAAGACAAAGAGAGACAAACAAAGACAAACAAAGACAGAGAAAGACACAGACAAACAAACAAAGATAAATACAAACAAAAACAAATAAAAACAAATAAAGACTAATAAAGACAAAGAGAGACAAACAGCGACAAACAAACAGAGATAAATACAAACAAAGATAAATACAAGCAAAAACAGATAAAGACAAATAAAGACAAAGAGAGACAAACAAAGGCAAACAAACAGAGAAAAAGACAAACAAAAACAAATAAAAATAAATAAAGACAAATTAAAACGAACGCAGATGAAGACAAACACAAACAAAGAGACAGAAGAACGAAGACAGACAGAGACAAATAAAGACAAACAGAAAAATAAAGACAGATGCAGACAAAGACAAAGAGAGACAGACAGACACAAATACAAACAAAGAGACAGACAAACAAAACAGACAAAGACAAACAAAGACAGAAACAGACAGGTAAAAGCACAGAGAAACAAAAAGAAATAAATAAAGAGATAAAGACAAACAAAAACAAACAAATAGAGACAAATAAAACAAATACTGCTGTCTTGTAATGATAAAACAAACAAATCTATATAAAGATAATATATATTATCTGATATATTTTTTATATATCGTTAGCTGGCTCTCCTCGCTCTTCTTATTTGTTTTGTTTTTAAACAGCAAACAAAGACAAAGAGAGACAAAGACAAACAGAGACAAATAATTTTCTTGCTGTCTCTACAGACGCAAACACCCACTGACGCAGCGGCTCCGCTAGCGCCCCACAGCTACGCAACCCTGTAGCTAGCTAGCTAGCTAGCTAGCTAGCTACCTGGATGTATAGCTAACTAAATACCCCTGTGCTCAACAGTTACACTGCCCCCGTAGCAAGCTAGCTAACCAGTTAACTAGCTAGCTAGCTGCTCAGGCAGTGAGACAGTCAGCTCGTTCGCCACCCCGACAGCTAACCAGCTAGCTAGCTAGCTAGCTAGCTAGCTAGCTTTGCAAATGGATGCCACCTACGCAATAGGCCCGACGACGCTGAAGGCCCAGAGAGTAGCGCCCGTTGCTGCTGCTGCTGCTGCTGCTGCTGCTGGGCGGCGAAGTAGAGAGGTACCCATCGCGACTAAACAGCTGACCTGGCTGACTAAAACTGATAACTGAGTAGACAGCTACTTAGCTAGCTAGCTAGCTAAGAAGACAGCTAGTTGGCTAGCTAGCTCAGCAGAAAGCTATTAAGCTGGGTTGCTAGCTACCTAGCTAGCTAAGTAAACCGCTAGCTACCTATCAGGCTACTAGTAACTAAGGAGACAGCTAGCTAGCTGGCTAGCTAGCTAGCTCGCTATGTGTGTGGTGTATAGAAAGGCGTCAACAACCTTATATAAAGAGTTAGGTTGGCGAAGACCTTACGATGCTAACACCTGTAGGAAGAAGAAGAAAAGAACAAACTCTTCTTCTTAGCCAACCTCGAGTGAAGATGGAGGTAAAAAGATGACACAAGAAGGCGCCTGTTGCTGCGGTGTACGTACACTGCAGCTGCATGCATGCATGGATGCATGCATGCATGCATGGATGCATTCATACATACATACATAACTGATGCATGCACGCATGCATGCACGCATGCATTCATTCATTCATGCATACATACTGCTGCATGCATACTGCTGCATGCATGCATGCATGCACTATACCCCGAACCTGATGCTTGTAACAGCAACAACACGCCAGCAGAACAAGTAAAACACCTTCTTCTTCTTCTCTCTCCCCCTGCCGCAGCGCTAACCCCCACGGCTTAATGAAAACAAGCAAAGAGAATCTGCACCCTCAGCAGCAGCAGCAGCAGCAGCAGCAGAAGCAGCAAGAGCGGCTGCTATTGCTAATACTACTGCTGCAGCAGCAACATTAGCAATGGTGGCAGCAGCAGATGCATGCCGATGCTATTGCTAATGCTCCTGCTGCTGTTGCTGCAGCACCAGGTCTTATGTGTGTAGACATATGAGTGGCTGTGTACATACACCGCAGCAGTACAGAGAGAAAAAGACAAAGAGAGACAAAGAAGAAGATACGCAAGTGCAGCAGTAGGTTTAACAAATATATAATATATATATATATAAATATATATATATATATATATATATAATTATATATATGTCTTTGAATGTCTCTGTCCCCCCTCATCTGTCTCCTTTTGTCTTATCTCCGTCCCTCTGTCTCAGTCTCCTCTTGAAGAAGCACTAAGACATCTACCAGAAGAAGCCTGAGGCTTGCTGGCTTGAAGGTGCTGCACCGTAGCTTGAAGGGTGCTGCTGCTGCTGCTGATATGAAGGAGCATAGCCTCCTAGAGACCTGCCGCTACCTTCATAGCCTCTTAAGAAAGAGCTGTATGCTTGAGACAGCTTTTCTTGTGTCTGTGGGATGTTTCTTAATATAATATCCTTACTCCCTTCAACAAGTATTAAACCTCTTGTAGCTGCAACCTTAGCTGCTTCAAGAAGAGCCTCAAGCACAAGCTTACCTCCTCTTATAAGATAATCAGCGCCTTGTTTACCTGCACCTATACCCTCATCTATATCAGCCTTATTCATTAAACAAGGACAAGAAGAAGGCGGTCTACCTTCAGCAACACAGCGGCTTAGATGCTCGATCCCTACCCTCATACAGCTAGCTAGCTTGCCTAATATAAACGTTAGCTGCTGAACAAAGCCTTCAAGCTCCCGCCCGCTCTCTCCTAGCTTACTACAGCATAGACTCCATTCTGTACCGGGTGCAGGCCGAGGCAGTCTCTCTCCTTCTGCTGGGACATCAACAGCAGCAACAGCCCCTACGACACCTCCTACTAAGCCGCTGAAGAAGTCAGCCATCGTGTTAAGAAAAAAATAAACAAAAGCAAGATAAATACTAACAGATGAGAGAGCTTTTTATATATATATTATATATTATATATATATTAAACAGAGAGAGAGATATAGATGTGAATAGACAGTAAAAATACAAAGAAAAGATGCTTTAAAAGAAAGACAAGAGGGGATTAGACAGAAGAAGATTATTTGTTCTGCAATTCCGTCACAGTTATCAAACACTATCAATGTTTATCTTATAGACAACGATTGAGACGGGGGGTCCTGACAAGCGTCTTCCTGCTGCTGCTGCTGCTGCTGCTGCTGCGCGCAGCGCAAGCGTGTGTTGCTGCTAGCGGCGACAACAGCGCTCTCTCTCGTGTCTCTCTCTCTCTCTGCTTCATTTCTTCTTCTTTTATTATTATTTGTCTCTTCTTTTCTACTATCTTATTAAAAAACCTCTTATATATTATATCTAGAAGCTTCTGAGGGTCAATATATATAGAAATACTAATGTACGAAGCACCGTATGCACGCTTTGTCTATCCTTACACCCGCAGCTGCAGCATACACTGCTGCTTAATTCTGGCCGATTGAAGCAGCAATAAAAGCAGCAGCAGCAACAGCAACTACAGCAGCAACAGCAGCAGCAATAGCAGCAGAAACAGCAGCAGAAGCAGCAGCAATAACACACGCACACACACACACACACCTCAATAAGCTTCCTAAAGCAATAGACACAGCGTCTCTAAGGAGATATATGCTTTTCTTAATATATTTAACTTTTTATAATTAATAAAAACTAAAAAAATAAACAAATATACTTTAAAAGTTTAAGACAGAGAGAGACGCGCTGCAGCAGCACCGCTGCGCTGTACCCGTACACTCTAAACTCCGTCTTAAGTCTTTTCATATAAATAGTTTTATAAGATTGAATAAGAATAAATAAAATAAAATAATTATATATTTTACCTCTTTATATGCTCTCTATTCATATATCAATCACCCCTAAACCATCGGTCTCAAGCGAGACAGCGTATTGTCTTTGTTTATTCAGAGAGGTCTAAAAATATATATATTTAAACACTTTATTATTTTTATACTTCTTCTCTCTCTCTTTCTTTAATTTTTATCGGCTGCTCTTTCATCTCTTTGCTGCAGACAAGAGACAAATAAATGTATTATTATATTAAGAAGGGGCTGCTGTCTCCGGCGCATGCATACATACACACTGAGAAGAAGAAGCTATTTATTTATTTATTTATTTTAATTAATTAATTAATTTATTTATTTATTTGTTAAACCATTCTTTGTTTGTGCTGCTATTAAAAAGAGAGAGGAGGAGACTGCACATTAAGCAGCTTGCTTCTTCTTAAAGTTATCTGTCTCTACTCTCTCCTATTGTTGCTGCTGCTGCTGCTGCTGCTGTTGCTGCTGCAGCTGCTGCTGCAGCTGCTAGTCTCTGTCTACAGGGTCAAGGCACCTCTGTCTCTAAAGCTCTTCGCCTACTGCACGGTGTGCTGTGCTTCTTGCATGCGAGGAGAGATGAACAGCAGCAGCAGCAGCAATGACAGCAGCAGCAGCAGCAGCAGCAGCAGAAGCAGCAACATTCAAAATGCTTCCAGGGGGCTGGATCGCCGAGGCATAGTTCCTACTACCTGTTGGGTAGGGGGATACAGCGGCGGTGCAGCAGCAGGGTCATTTCCTGCTGCTGCTGCTGCTGCTGCAGCTCCTGCTGCTGCTGCTGCTCCTGCTGCTGCTGTTTCTGGTGTCCCTGTGGGGTACTGGTCTTACCCTTCTAACTTCACTGGAGTCCCTAGTTGGGGTTCTGCTGCTGCTGCTGCTGCTGCTGCTGCTGCAGGCGCAGCACCATCACCATCACCAGGAGCAGCAGCAGCAGGAGCAGCAGCAGCACCAGCAGCAGCAGGAGCAGCAGGAGGAGGGGGTTTAGATGCTGTACGTGTTGCATATGAGAGTGAAGTAGCTCTCGTTCACTTTGTTGTTTATCTTGTTTGCTGCATCGGGTGTCTGTCTCTTTATCTAAATTACTTTGTCCTTGAAGCTCATATCTTTGCTCTCTTCTGGGCCTTAATATTTTCTATCCCTCTTAGAGCTGTTGTTGCTGCTATAGCGGGGCCCCCAGTACAGCGCTCTCCTGCTGCTGCTGCTGCTGCTGCTGCTGCTGCTGCTTCCGGGGCACCTACTCCACGGATATCCGATGCAGCAGCAACTGCTGCTGCAGCAACTGCTGCTGCTACTGCTGCCCTCCCTCGTATGGTGAATCAAACACACAAGGAACAGCAGCAGCAGCAGCAGCAGCAACAGCAGCAGCAGCAGCAGCAAACTCCACAGCAGGAGTGCAACAATGAGGGGGAGGCTGCCTTTCCTACTGCTGCAGCAGGAAATCACCAGAAGGAGACGGAGGGGACAGCAGCAGCAGCAGCAGCACCAGCAGCACCATCAGCAACAAAAGCAGCAAAGAAAAGAGCCATTCGCCTCAAGTGGTCGCGGGATGCTGCAGCAAAGCAGCAGCAGCAGCAAAAGATGTTGCTGCTAAAGCAGCAGCAAGGGCTGAGCCCGCGTACAAATGACAGCAGCAGCAGCAACAGCAGCAGCAGCAGCAGCAGCAGCAGCCCTGCAGGAGACACAAACTCTGCTGCAAACACCACAGAAGGACAGCAATCAGCAGCGCCAGCAGCAGCAACAGCTCCTGCTGCTGCAGCAGCAGCAGATTCGTCAGCACTGCACCGTTGGGCATCAGCGGGGGAGACAGCGATTGCTGCAGTGTCTGTACACCGCAACAAGAAGAGGAGACAGCAGCACGAAGAGAGTCTTCTATCAGTCTCTTCTAAAGATAAATACCCTGCATCCAGCAGCAGCAGCAGCAGCAGCAGCAGCAGCAGAAGGAGGGGATCTTGGGTGTTAGACTGTCTGCAGCAGCAGGTAGAGTGTGTATTAGGATTTCTATTACAATCCTTATCTATGCGCTTGTGTGTCTCTGCTGTCTCTACTTTGCTGCTGCCGCTCTCGCAGCTGCTGCTGCCCAGCAAGGGGCCCCCTAGCGAGCCGTGGTTTGCTTTGCTGCACCGCTGCTGCTTGCTGCTGCTGCTGCAGCGGGTGTGTCTCTCCAGCTACACGCTGCAGGAACTGCTGCAGCTTGTTGCAGCTGTCCTGCTGCTGCTGCTGCTGCTAGAGCTCTTGCTGCTGCTGCCGCTCAGAGGTAGGAGACTCCTCAGAGGGAGACAGACCTGGTAAGAGACACAAGAAAGATAAAGGAGGAGACAGAAGATAGGTAGAGAGACAAATATAATATATATATATATATTATATGTATATCATATATATCTATTATATATAATATATATATACATATGTATATATATATGTATATCATATATATATATATGTATATATATAGAGGGAAAGAGAGAGGTAAAGAGGTAGAGAGACAGATGGAGAGAGATGAGACAGAAAAGAGAGACGAAGAGACAAAGGAGACAGTAAATAGTTATTAAGAGACAAAGGGGACAGTAAATAGTTATTAAGAGACGGAGGAGACAGTAAATAGTTATTAAGAGACGGAGGAGACAGCAGACATTGGCTTGAATATGTATATTTATTTATTTATTTATTTGTTTTATTTATTTATTTGTTTATTTGTTTGTTTATTTATTTATTTATTTGTTTATTTATTTGTTGAGGTGTATGCGCAGGTACTGGGGAGAAGTGTCTCCTTTTGGGGTGTCTCTGTCTCTTCCTTGTTTACGAGCTGCGGTGTATGTGCGGCCTTTAGTTTCTGTCTTTGTTATTGTAGGCTTCTTCTTACTAGGGCTTCTTGTCTCAGCTTTCTTTTGCTTTAATATATATAACGAGTTAACAACGCTGTGGGAGGCTGCTCATAGCCTCTTAGACAAACATATCTTAAAAACTACTTCATTTAGACAAGCTTATGCTCGTCTGTCTTCTCTCCTTATTCATCAGCAAGACGGCCTTGCTGCTGCTGCTGCTGCTGCAGCTGCTGCTGCTGCTGACTCGGCTGCCCCCAGTCTTGCTGCTCCAGCAGACACACAAACCCCAACCACACTCGCGGGATTCGTTGCTGCTGCAGCATCCGCAGTACGCAGCAGCAGCAGCAACAGCAGCAGCAACAGCAGCAGCAACAGTTTAACAGCAGTAGGGCCCGGGGCTAATACTGCTGCGCTGCTGCTGGGGGGCAGCATCGGATGGTATTCAGACTTGTGGAGAGTTATACAAGAGTTAGCTTCAGCTTCCTCTGCAGCAAATGCTGCAGCAGTAGACGCAGCAGCAGTAGAAGCAGCAGCAGCAGCAGCAGCAGCAGCAGATTCGCGCACCTCCCGCCTCTCCCATTCGTGGCTACCGCCGCATGCAGACACCCGAGAACTTCAATTAGGAGACAGTAATAATGATAAAATGCTTGAAGGAGACACAACACAAGAGATACGCAAGCAGCAGCAGCAGCAGCAGCAGCAGCAGCAACTGGAGAGTACCGGTCTCTCGCGGCCTCCAGGGGAGGTTGTAAACGATCTCGATGTCTGTCTCCTCTTGCATCCACCTCGGCAGCAGCAGCAGCAGCAGCACGCAGCAGCAGCAGCAGCAACAACAACAGAAGAAGCAGCATTGGGGGCCTCTATAAGGGCCCCTCTTCTGGGGGCCCCCGAAAGCTGTGCTGTTGAGAAGAGGTGGATAGACACCTCAGCTGCATCAGCGAGCAGTCTCCTTTCAAAACCCTTTCTATCTCTTCTTCATGATACTGCTTCAGAATCTTGTGCTGACCCTTGGAGGCCCCTATGGTTTGTACGGGGCCCCTATGGGGGCCCCTCTGAAGGCCCTTATGGGGGCCCCTCTGGGGGCCCCTCTGAAGGCCTTTCTGGGGGCCCCTCTGGGGGCCCCTATGGGGGCCCCTATGGAGATGGTGGACGTGTGTTGCAAGGGCCTTCATTAGGGTTTTTGTGGGGGGCAGCTGAGAGCCGCATGAAGAAAGAGAAGAGACAGCAGAGACATTTAGGGTTTTTAGGTTTATTGCTGCCTTTGAGCTGGGAGAGACGGTGGCCCCATACAGCAGAGTTTCTGTCTCTTCTTAAGAAAGGAAATCTAATTGCAGCAGCAAGAAAAGCAGCAGAGACTTCACAAGAAATATGTGTACTTACTAAAGAAGCCTGGTGGACATACTTATCGCAACATACGCATACACTCCTATCTTGGGCTCTTAATAGCGGGTAAGACTAACCCTAAACCCTAAACCCTAAACCCTAACGAAAGTGGGAGACGCTTTTGCGCATCTTCAGCGCCTTTGGAGAGCAGGTGGAATATTTGGGCGAGGGGGTGGGGGTTTTAACGCCTCAGGGATTTGAGGGTTTAGGGTTTAGGGTTTAGGGTTTAGAGATCGGGTGTTCAGGTTTGGAGCCTGGAGGGTCTTCTGTTTTGTAGTTGCCTTTCTCCTTCGCTTTTTCCTTTCGGCCTTCGACCTCCTCTTCCAGGTATTTAGGGTTTACGGTTTAGGGTTTAGGGTTTAGGGTTTAGGGTTTACGGTTTACGGTTTAGGGTTTAGGGTTTAGGGTTTAGGGTTTAGGGTTTAGGGTTTAGGGTTTGGGGTTTCGCCTTCTCCACCTGCCGCAAGGACATGGAAGCCGTTAGCAGCAGCAGCTGCTG